TAGATGTGAGTGAGAATTTGCCATGTGATATTCCTATTGTTAAGGAATTGAATAAGTAAAACTTTTCAGCCGGAATGTACCATTGGGCTTAAAAACTTGTAAGCAGTTTTATTTAACTAAAACGAAGATTTGAAGCCTCACGTCTAATTTCGTTGCCCCCTGGGGTCTGGAGGTTTACGAGGGGGACGAATTTGTACATCTTCAGGCCAAATACATAGTTGATTAGCCAAGTTTTGTCCCCCAAAATTATGTGAATTTGGGACAAATAAAATAGTAGCATTTTTTTCCAAAATTGGAAGAAAAATACTATAACCGTTATATTCTTTATGTAGAAGAATATACAATGATTGAGAAGCTTGTGCCGTTTCTGAAGGAAAATCTGGTTGTGGAAAATCTTCTTCCAATGGAAGAAGTGATAACGGCTTCTTATGGAAAGGTTTGTCGACCTTCCTCATTACCAAGCCACAGTCTTGCTGGGAGAAGTCAATAAGTTGGCTTGTATTTTCTGGCTAACCTTTAGGTAGGTTGGCCATTGGATGCCCCCCAAACACCACTGGAATTGGGTTTGGGTCTGTCAAAGGAATACTCCTCCGGCGGATTGGATTTATTCCTTGATCGGGAGGTTTCCTTGGAGGGCGTTCAATTTCGAATGCCATTGGAAAGGCCATAAGTGGCCTTGGTGGTGTGCTCGTAGGCTATTGAATGTTCGAAAGTGAAACATTCTGGACCTAAAATTGAACTTTCTGGACTGCTGCTGGTGGAGGGTTCTGCACCTCACGTGGAACCTGCACCTGCGATGGAAGTGGTTGAGCTACTACCGGTGGAATCGACTTCACTGTTGCTGAAGGGTTCTACACGCTAGGTGGAACTTGTATCTGTGATGGAAGTGATGGTGGAATCAACTTCACTGCTGGTGGAATCGACACCATAGGTGGTGGTGGTTGCTAAGCTCGTGGAAGGGTTTGTACTTGAGATTTGGAGCCACTTCCTTCTACCAAGTAAGGCTTCTGTAATTGCTCTCGTAACTGTTCACAGAAGTCATTCCATTCAACCATGCTTGTCTGCCTTACTAGTTGAATTTCTAGAGCAACACGTGAAAGTTCAATAGCTTGTTCCTTACAAATTTCAGCAATATCTTGAAAAGATTTACAGTGTTCCCTAGAATTTTCGGCAAGATATTAAAAAAATTTGCCGTGTTTTTCTCCTTCTTCAAGAACGGCACGTGAACTTTTTCATCAGGAAGTTCAATAGCCTGTTCCTCTTTAATTTCGGCAGGATCTTGAACAGATTTGCTGTGTCTTTTTCCTCCTTCCATAAAAACACTCCGTTCAGAATGTCCCACCAGGCGTGCCACTATGTTTGGCCTGAAAAGAGCGGGTACCGATTCCGATGAAACTGGATGGGCGTGCCAGGAACTGCAGTAGTTCTAAAGAAGATCCAAACAATATTCCAGAAGGAAGACTGCGAGGCTAGGCGATTGTGAAGAGGTCTGGAATGACCACCTCTGGGTTCTTTTTGCCTTTGATAAAGGACTTCGGGATTGTTAATTGGCTAGGAAGAACTGAGAAAGCAATTGGAAATACTGTAAAATTATCTAATAAAAAGTAAAGTGCAGGACTGAAACTAATCATAATGAAAGTGCATTGCAATGAGAATAAAGATTGTATTGAAATGCGTTTTTGGCGTTGAGCAGACCTTCTAAGTTACAATATTATGCCCTATTTATAGAGTTTAGTAATGGTAGCTTGCATGTAATCGCTTGCTTCCTAAGCTTCCATGTGTCCCATGACTTTGCATGTAACCGTTTGTAATCGTTTGCTTCATTGGCTGCCATGTGTCCCAAGACTTTCCACTGGAACATCGTAGTACCTTTTCATTGGACCGACTAGCTTCTTAGGCTGCCATGTGTCCCATGACTTTGCATGTAACCGCTTGTAACCGCCCACTTCCTAGGATGTGTCCCATGACTTTGCATATAACCACTTACTTCCTAGGCTGCCATGTGTCCCATGACTTTGCATGTAACCACTTGCTTCCTTGGCTGCCATGTGTCCCAAAACTTTCCACTGGAATGTCGTAGTAACTTTCCATTAGAATCGACCAACTTCCTAGGTTGCCATGTGTCCCATGACTTTATATGTAACCGCTTGTAACCACCCACTTCCTAGGATGTGTCCAATGACGTTGCATATAACCACTTGTAACCACTCACTTCCTAGGCTACCATGTGTCCTATGACTTTGCATGAAACCACTTGTAACCATTTGCTTCCTTGACTGCCATGTGTCCCAAGACTTTCCACTAGAATGTGGTAGTACCTTTCCATTGAAATCAACCAGGGTAATCTCCTACTGGAAAATGGAAAATAAGGGTGTAAATATCAATATATATATTTAATCAAAGAAATGATAAAAATGGCATCAGTTGGAGCAGAATGGCAAGGTGTCTGTCTCCCACAATTGGTAAAATATTCTTTAGGTGAAAAATAAAAATAAACGTTGTACCACTAACATATCATATATCATATATCATATTCCACACTTGAAAGATGAATTATAGTACACAACCTTATGTATTACACCATGCCAAAAACAATGATGCAAAAAGGCACGGAGCCACCTTATGGCCAGTGGGAAATTTTTTTAGTTTGCATTTTATACTTATAATTTTGTTAAAATCTTAATAATAACGTCACAAATATTTACTAAAACCCCTCTATATAAATCTGCCCTCATAGAAATTTTAGTCTTCACATTCATGACCCCCCTCCCCCTCTCATTTTAGCAATCCCTCATCCTTTGCACCCAGTAATTATAGTCCTTCGACTCTCTCTTATGAAGATCATAATTGCTGACTTCTTCTTACACTATCATACAGCATTTCAAAAAATGAAAACTCGTTGACAACAAATTTAAATGTACTCAATGAAATATCAATTAAGGGTAAAGTGCAAAAAACCCCCTTCAACTATTGGTCATGTGCAAGTAACCCCCCTGAACTACAATTTGCCCCCTTAGACTATTGAATTTGGTGCAATTAACCCCCAATGTCAAATCTCCGGCCAATTGGTGTAAACGGAAATAGTGAAAGACAATTTTACCCCTTATAAAAACTACGTCGTTTCAGTTAAATTTTCAGCAACAAAAAGCAACCTTATGACCATGGTCTGACACTAGCCAACCCTTTGAATATATTTTATGATAGAGATATTTACATACAATTTGATATCGATTTAGAGAGAGAAAGAGAAGATGAAAGGCGAATGCGTAGAAGAAAAGGATCGCCCAAACAACATGTTCACCAAGCTGAACCAGACCCACAATTTCCACCACCACAATCACTTCCAACTCACCCAAACTTTCGAGGAAACCAACAGCCGTAGTCCGGGCAGCGCCATCACACCACCGTAAGAGGCGGCGACGGAGCCACCATCGAGGTGGTTCGTCATGCCAGAGGACAACCTCCTGGTTCCAAAAACAAACCCAAACCACCCATCATCATAACCCGTGACACCGAGCCTTCCATGAGCCCGCACGTGCTCGAGGTTACCGGCGGCGTTGATGTGGTCGATGCCGTGTCGTTGTTCTGCCGGAAAAGGAATATGGGTCTTTGTGTTCTCACCGGTTCAGGCACCGTAGCGAATGTGACTCTTAAACAACCATTGACCACTCCCGAAGCTACAGTCACATTCCATGGCCATTTCGACATACTTTCTCTCTCTGCAACGGTGCTCCCCAATACGACAAACTGGGTTCATTCAGCGATGGAGCCAAAGGTTATTCCGGCGGCGGTGAAGCCGAAGCTGAAGCCGAAGAGGTGACAGTGACTGCGGGTCTTGATCTACACTACGAGACAACCACCACCACCACCAAATCCAAACCCTAAATTGAAAGCCAAGAACGCACAACATGACCACCGGTCTTGATTTGCAGGCGGTTACCAAATCGTCGTCAATAAATCGATCTGCTGCAATGGTGGCAAATGATAATTTCAGGCCGCGCCGCAACCTCACAGTCGAGCTTCTTTTTCCATCGCCAGTCAAACCATCACGGCCGAACCCTCACCGGACGACCTCTTCACAGCCGACCCCTCCATCGCGGACGAGCTCTTCACAGCCGACCCGCTTGCTCGATTTTGGATCTGTATTTTTATTTTTACTTATTTTTTTTTATCATTTTTTGGATTGTATATTGTGTTTGGGCTTTACAATAGGATACAACAGATACTTAGGCCTTATTTGGTTGCAGCTCGAGCACTATTCCAGGACTAGACAATAATAAGGGTATATGTGTCATTTAATTCACTTTGCTTAAAGGGTTGTATGGTCATTTAAAGAAATTTGGGTAGTCACGTGACCCATCATGTGTGTCTTCATGGTCAAATTCAACCGGCTTATCACCGTACAGGGTTAATTGCACCAAATTGGTTAGTTCAGGGAGGTTATATGCCAAATTAGTAGATCGGGGAGGTTTTCTGCTTCATGACCAATAGTTGAAGAGGTTTTTTTGCACTTTACCTATCAATTAATGTTATAGTTCTTTTGTTTATGGTAGTTGAATTTTTTTTAATTTTATCGTTATTCAAGACCGCCCCCTCTCAAAAAAATTCTGGCTCCGTCACAAGATGCAAGTTTGAAACTTAGACAAAATGATCAAATTAGAAGCATTTTATTAGTCAAAATAATAATGGGATAGATACAGTCGAATTCATTTATTGAAATCCAGAAAATGATCTTTTATGTAATTTGAATTCAGTGGCTCTTAATAAAGCTAATTTATTGATTTCCTAAACCTGAAAAGTTCATGCTCCTTTTAGAGACAATTTGATTCTAATAAAATCTTTTTATTTGTTCTCGTTAATGTTTTATCGTTTGATTTTCTACAATATTTGTTGCCCTTTCTTCGGACAGGAATTGTGATAATTGTGACTGGTTTTCCTTCTTCCACTTGCTTTTCTTTGATCTGCAGCAGCCCATGATGATTAACTATGTATATGAAATATTTGGCATAACAATATAAAATCAATAAATGAAAGTTCATGAGCTCACAAGCCTCACATAATATAGCATATTCATGATATATCTTTCTCTTATCAAATACTACGTACTAAAACTCAAAATTGCAAATTTGGGTTGGTCCAGTGGAGTAGAGGCGCGAGGTAGACGCTCTGGAGGAGGAGGAGATCCCTAGTTCGACACTCAGAAAGCGCATTGAAGGATAGCACTCTTCCTGTATTGTTCCTGTTCGTGACTCACCCGGGAGTTGGTGAGTTGGTGTTCGGGTTTCGCCAGTGTCCCCGTAATTTATCTTCTAAGGGTGCCTTAGGGGAGTTCCATGGTTATCAAAGAAAAAATTTACAAATGCAAAGATAAGCTGTTTTTACTTGTTAGAAATCCTTTCAACTAAGTCTAACAAGTTACAAGAATCTCACGCCCAAAATGTTAAAACGTCCCGGAAACCTAGCTAGACAAGGCATAATATATCGTTACATAATAGCTTGACGAAAGAAACGGATGGAAAAATTTGCTTCATCGCCCATAACAAAGGTTATCGAAAGGAAAAGTTTTATCAAGAAAGCTTCATCCACTGCCATAACTTTCTCCCACGCACACAGTGCACCCAATAATCTGAGTTCATGAGTTACACCTTCTTAATAATCTGCACTACATCTTCGTCTTCAAGTTCATGCTCCTGACGTATAAGAAGGACCAATGTTAATCACCATAACTATCCCCAATATGCATGCATAAATAAGCAAAATAAATAATGATAATAATACAGGAAAAGAGAAGAAAAAAATGAACTTAAAATATAGGATCAGTTTTTGGATTCACCTTGCCGACTCTTTGGGGCTTGTGCTTCACGCTCGAACCCCAGACTAGTGCACTGTGTCATTTGGCCAGAACACACGTCAAATATCAGGAAAACAGTAAATCAGACAAAATTATCAACCATCTTGAAAAATAAATAAATACATTCACTGACTACCCACATAGTCAAGGAAGACAATAATTCAGAGATTCCTGTGATGATAAAAATGATTAGCTAAACAAGACAATTTGGATATTACCAATATAAGTGATCAACTATTTGGTCACTAGGGAACACAAAAAAGATGTGCATTGATCGATTAAATGGAAATAATTTACGAAATATGACACATCTGGATACACAAGTTTCATTTCCAACAAATACTTAAAAAGAGAATTTTTGATACTAGGGATGAATCTGTAACTTCGATTTGTTACTGAATTGAGACAAGTGGATTTTCATTTGCACAAGGTACAAAAAGTTCCAGAGTGAAGAAGTGAGTATATGTAAAAACAGAGATGAAGCATTTATCGTTAATAGTTTTGCTGCAGGCGCAATCATTGAATCCATAATCTGAGGATCCCCTAAACAAAATTACTCCTACAATAAACTGCATAGAGAATGCACACCTATCACAGTGGAAAATGCACCTTTCACTTTCAGGTAAGGCTCAAAGATGGTTAAACATTTTTTTGTTGACTGGTTGTCAATATGAAATTATAATCCAATTCAAGAAATCGTTTTCAAATTATTTGGAATCCACGGCATAAAGTCTCTCACTGTCTCAACTCTGTTACTTTTGGTCTTCCCAATCATTGCTTTCAATGTGATCCATGTTATTCGTTACTCTTTCTTGTGCAATTAGAGGTCTTTGTTAATCGCAGCACACAACAAAATCATTTGAACCGCTTTCTACTTCCACCTTTTCGTGATTGCTTTCATTTCTAGTTTCATCTTTTTCTTGATTTACCATACATCCATCTTAATATCTCTGATTTCAGCCATGTTTATATTATGTTTTTTTAACTGTCTAACATTGTCACACAAAAAATTATTGTTCTAAGAATTGCTTCAAATATTTTCATTTCAACTTTATAGGTCACTCCGATGCACAATAAAGCACTCCCCTACTTAACCAATTACGATTTAGTTTTAAGTGTAGCATTTTCTCCAATCTCTTCCCCCATGAGTAGTCGAATGACTCAAACCTAGGAAACAGAACTGTCCACTCTCTGTATCTCTTAAACTTTGGTAACTGTTTGACCTTCAATACTCACTACATCTCTCTGAATGTTCCTAAGTTCTCTAAAATTACATTCCATATATCAATTATCCTTCGTTAAATCTAAAACAATTCTAAACTTCTTCAACAAATGCAAGTTAATATTCAACCCCACTTCAGTGTCTTCCATTAAAGCAATGTCATCCACAAAGAGCATAAAATATGAAACCTCTTCCAAACTGTGTATTCAATCCATCCATAACCAAGACCAAAGATAAGGGGCTTATTACTAATACAAGCCTAAAGTGGTTAAGAATTTACTTGTGCCTCCTGTAATTATTCTTACTACCACCACGATGCCATGTATCATACATTTCCTTTCAGGTCAATATATGTATGTATGTGTGTGTGTGTGTGTGTGTGTGTGTGTGTGTGTGTGTGACTACTTTCTTTTCTAAAACTGACTGTGTTTTATCTCTAGGAATTCTATGTAAACCACATATGAGACTTCAATGGCCTTGCAACTATATGATAATGTCAGATATTTATCGTATTAGCAGCATTTCAAAATATATATATATATCTCCATAATAGCCCAAGTCAATTTGAACAGTATCAACAGACTCATAATATAGATAAGGACCCCCTGACATTGCTCTATGCCACGGGATTTCTCATGTACCTTGTGCAGGAAATTCTCACCATCCTAATTTTGTCTGAAATTGTTATCCATACTATTAAAACTCAAATTCCCATCACTCTTCTAATAGTTACGAAGAGAAGATGGGAAGACAAGCATAATATCAGATAGTTATAGGCTGATTTTACCTAAGGCAAGTGGAATGCAGCAAATTCGATAAAAGAAAACAGGCAACCATTATAATTTATATGGTTAAGATCTATCCGACAATTATGATATCTTTAGGAGGAGGTAAAGAAGAAACATTGACTATCAAACATGAATCCAAAGGAATCCCTTTTTTGTCCCTTTTTTTTTTACCTTCACTCCCACCTTTACCGGAACCATGGATTTACTGGAACCATATTATGGATTTATATTTCTGAAGTACCAAACATGGCTGAGGTTGATTCTTATTGGAACTCACTCTCCATGCATTAACTATCCCATATGAAAGAAAACAAATTTCTTCTTGTTTATTTTCTTTTCACTTTATGTTAAAATGCTTCCTTCCAGGATGAAAATATAACAAAGCTTTTCACTCCACCCAATCACCATCACAACATCAAACCAGTAGATTTAAAGGAACCATATTCTGGACCTACACTTTCTGAAGTACCAAACACAACAGTAAATTGTTTAGGAGAGGGTTACTTACTACTTAAATTGTTTAAGCATATCCTTGTGGATTCGGTTGCAGAAGTCCTCGACTGTCGTCGTCTTTGATGACAGGATAACAGGATCTTCATAATCTGGATTCATACCCTTGGGCTTTGTGTATATGCGAGTCAAATTAAGATACTCCCAAATCTTCTCCAACAAACCATCAAGATTCCATTCCAGATGAGCACTGCAGAAACTCACAACGAATTACATAAGAGATCATAGATCTATTAAAACAATTTGGCAAAAACACCAGAATTTGTCAACCAAGTAATTTTGCTGAGCACAAGAAACAGAGGAATAACAGTTTCCTGTGCTATCAACTAAAAAAGATAGCACCTAATCATGCATACACAGAGGATAACAAGCCAAAAGGATGTAACTAACAAACTGGCACAATATTGTGAAGCTATTATACAAAGTAAAATGGATTCACAGGTAGACAGCCATTTTGTTGCTAGTGTCACTGTAGTTAAGTACAATGAAATGCAATACATGTTTGGCATCCATGTCCTATGCTTTGACAGGTTAGATTGCAAACTATTAATTTCTAAGTTTTCAAATGCTTGGGCAAGAGAATACAACAAATTCCACATCTTTCTAGCTATCTTGGAATTTTTCAACAGAAATACTATTTGTGCAAAGACAAGAAAATTGCCAGGCGGGTATGTGATCGAATTGTTTCTCATTAAGTAATTGATGTACATATCGTGGAAACAGAAATATTTCATGATTATTGAGAGAAGGAGAAGCATCTTCTCCAAGAAAAGAATTCAATTCTGTGCAACTATGGCTACAATTACCGGCGACCAACCACCGCACTTATGGTTCCATAATCAACTCTCTATGGATTGCAAAACTAGTGTATTTTATAACATGAAACAAAGCAAATTTTGCTCTGTGATGCCTCAATTGGAATCAAGATTCATGATCAGTGTGAATGAAATAATAAAAGCCAGCAGTTAATTCCAGTAAAATGCAAAAAGGAATGGGAATTAGCGAGGGAAATTCTTGCACATTTGATTTCTTTTTACAACAATTTCATGATTCTGAGGGAAAATATTAGTAGTAAAAAAGACATATTAGTAGTAAAAAAGACATATGGTAGGATGCTTTCAGAAATTTTGATTTATTGCTATATTTTTCTAAGATGAACAAACTAAAAAAATGATATTTTCACAACCTAACCATGTAATTGAAATTTATACTTTAGAAACGTGTATTTTCGAGATTGACGAAAAATAAGCCCTTATCACATATATTTTTATGAATGTAAGGGATTACCTGACAGGACAGTAATGTGGAAGTTTATCCAGAATCTCCAGCTCCTCAAGTGTTATCTGATCAATCTTGTTGACAGCATATATGCATGGCATATATACCCTACTGCCCTCAATGACATCTATGAGGTCATCAGCAGTTGCATCATACCTAAGAGAAATATCAGCATTGTGCATTCTGTATTCACTACATATTGCCTTCACAGTTTCAAGGTCCAGATGTGTGTTGGTAACTGTTGATGTAAAATTAATCCCACCCTTGTCTTTCTTCCTGAACGTCAGGTTAGGTGGTTCCTTATTCAACCTATTTTCAAGGGAATAAACATAACGAAATCAAGAATTTCACCATTACTAGGAAGAAAAGAGAGTATGAGCAAAAGAATTAAATTCCAGTAAGCAATTATGAATAAAAGATGTGGACAGGTAATGTAAGATCTAAAAAGTTATTGACGCATTAAACAAGATGAATTGCCTCCAAACACCAAAATGGTAAACAACCCATTATTTAATTATAAATAATTATCTCTACAGTAAGGGTAGAAACAATGTTCATATTCATCTAGTCCGACGTAAATCAGTTTCCGGATTTTTTTGTGTTTTCCAGTGCTTCATTTTCCGTTTTCCCTACGCGACCATCCTCTGATTCCCAAGTGATCAGCCATCGTTGTTCATCTAAAGAATCTCAATCAGATTGAAACGCAAATGTGACAAAGTATCTTTTCAAAGAATTTTTTTTTTTTTTTTTTTTTTATAAGTAAAAATATATTAGAAAAACATTCAAAAGGGGAACGCATCCCTAATACAAGGAGAAAAAATATCTAAGGACCAATAGAATCCAAGAGATCAAAGAAATCGTCAATCGAGGAGCATGCATTTCCTCTTACATAACAGAACAAAGAACGAAGAATATGAAATTTTAAATTAGCCAAAGACGATTCTTTTCCTTCAAAGGATCTGTTATTTCTCTCACGCCACAAACACCACCAGACACAATGTGGAACAATCCTCCAATAATCACGAGCTTGTTCTTTAACAGGACACCTTCTCCAAGGGTTAATCAATTGTGAGGAGTGCTTAGGCATTACCCATAAAAGGCCAAACATGCAAATAATAAAACTCCAACAATCATATGTCACAGGACAATGCAAAAGAATGCGATCCACGGATTCACTATCAGCTTTACATAAACAGCACCAATTAACAATGATGTTGCCTCTCTTTCTCAAATTGTCCAATGTCAAAATCTTTCCCAATGCGGCAGTCCAAACGAAGAATGCGATTCGAAGAAGAGCTTTAGAACGGCAAACAGACTTCCAAGGGAACTCGTGACCAACGAAATTGGACAAACACAAGAACATGGATTGGACACCAAACTTACCATGAGCTAAAGAAACCCACAAAATATCATCACACCCTCTGCCAATATCCTTCTGCCTATACAACGTACCCAAAAAAACACAAGCTTCCTCCATTTCCCAATCCTGAAAGGAGCGCCTAAACCGCACATCCCACGTAACTCCATTGTTATCAAGTTGATAACAATCAATCACGTAGACATGCTTATTGGCTGCAATACTGTAGAGTCTAGGAAAGGAGTGAGACAACAATTAATCTCCGTGCCAAAGGTCCTCCCAAAAACAAACATGTCTGCCATCACGAACTTTGAATATAATGTGTGGAGAAAACATCCCAGCCCTTCCGAATGAATTTCCACACACCAACACCTCCCGTAATAGTGACTGGAAGAGATGACCAACCCCCACTCTCCTTACCAAAACGACCCGAGACAGCTCTTCTCCACTGACGATGGCGTTCCCTTCCAAATCTCCATAACCACTTTCCCAAGAGAGCACGATTAAAAGGAACGATTTTTCGAATGCCTAACCCGCCTAACCTCAACAGTTGGCACACTTGATCCCAATTAACAAGATACTTAAACTCCTCTCCCCTTCCATCCCAGAGAAAATCCCTCTGAATTTTTTCAATCGTTTCAGCAAAAGAGCATGGAATTTGAAACAAAGATAAAAAAATAGGTAGGAAGGGATGAGAGAGTACTCTTAATGAGTGTGACTTCCCCCCCCCCCCCCCCCCCCCCCCCTAGATAGATACTGCTTTTTTCATCCTGCCAATCTTTTCTCATATCTATTAATCATAGGATCCCAATTCCCAACTCGTGTAAAAGAAACTCCCAAAGGCAATCCTAAGTAAGGAAGAGGAAAAGCACCAACTCTACACCCTAGGACAGCAGCTAAGGAGGAAATATCTGGAACATCCCCCACTGGGACAAGCACACTCTTTCCGACATTAATCTTTAACCCAGAAACCGCTTAGAAGCAAGCAAGAATGCACCTCATATATCTGAGTTGAGAAACTTCAACATCACAAAATACCAAAGTATCATCCGCGAACAACAAATGGGAGATCTACATCTGATGTTCAACATCTCTGCCAACTCTGAACCCCTCATGTAACCCAAATCTTCCTATTTTCTCATTAATCTGCTCAGACCTTCCATGACAATAAGGAAAACAAAAGACGATAATGGGTCTCCTTGTCGCAGACCACGCGAGCAAGCAAAAAAACCCGCAGGTGAACATTCACGAGCACAGAAAACATAACTGACGAGATACAAGTTTCAATCCATTTTATCCACTTGTCACCAAAACCCATCCTCCGAAGCAAATACAAAACAAACTTCCAATTAACATAATCATAAGCTTTCTCAATATCAAGCTTACACAAAACGCCAGGAACCCCACTTTTTAATCTAGAGTCAACACATTCCCCTGCAATAAGAACAGAATCCACAATTTGCCTCCCACCAAAAAAAGCATTCTGTGATTCTGAAATGAGACCATCCAAAACATTACTCATCCTGGAGACAAGAACCTTGGCAATAAGCTTATACAAACATCCAATTAAGCTAATTGGCCGAAAGTCCTTAATATCAGAGGCACCGCCCTTTTTGGGAATGAGAGCAATAAAATATGCGTTCAGAGATTTCTCAAATGTGCCATGAGAATAAAAATCCTAAAAGGTGCCCATCACCTCAACTCGCACCACCTCCCAACTCTCCTTAAGAAACCGCATAGTAAACCCATCTAGCCTGGAGTTTTGTCCCCATTACAACTAGAAAGTGCCTTAAGTACTTCCTCCTCCGTGAATGGCATCTCAATCCTATCACTATCCAACGCAGAAATAGAATTAAAAGGAAGACCATTAAGAGTAGGTCTCTAATCCAAAGTCTCAGTGTAGAGCTGCTGATAAAAAGAAACGATTCCCCCGCGCACCTCGTCCTCCCTCCGCAATTCAGAACCATTAATCCGGATACGCCCGATGTGATTACATCTTCTGTGAGCATTGGCAAGTCTATGAAAAAATTTTGTCTTACAATCCCCATCTTTTAACCACAAAGCCCGAAACTTCTGGCACCACGAAATCTCCTCCATAAGAGCAATCTCAGCAAAAACCGCTTGGCAAGAGGCTCTTTTAGAGCGTAATGATTCCCCCCTCTGTCCCACCTCATCAAGACGATCGAGCTAAGCAATATCAGCAAGAACTCTAATCTTCTTCCATTCAAGATTCCCAAACACTTCTTTATTCCAACTCTTTAGCTCAGTTTTAAGGAACTGAAACTTTCTAGCTAACACATAACTAGCAAAGCCTGTGAAATTCACTTCCTCCCACCAAGACTGAACCTTCCCTTGAAAATCCTCGGATCTAAGCCACATGTTTTCAAAGCGGAAAGGAGTGCGTCTAGAACTCAAACCACCACAATCAAGAACTAAAGGCACATGATCAGATGTGACTCTAACCAACACAGCCTGAGAGACATCCGGGAAATGCTCTTCCCACGCCCCATAAATCAGAAAACTATCCAACCGGGAAAAAGTAACTGGTTCCCTACCATTAGACCAAGTAAAGGCCGCTCCTTCCAATGGTAGGTCAATGAGGAAATTACTATCAATGAATTCTGAAAACATGGTCATTTTTGAAGACCACCTGCCCCCTGTGGACCTCTCAAATGGGGACCTAACAAAATTAAAATCCCCACCTAAACACCAAGGCAATGACCATAAATCCTTAACATAGCAAAGCTCGTCCCACAGGACTGGTCTATCACTATCAATAACAGGCTCATAAACACCTGAAAACACCCACCTGAAATTGTCTTCCTCCATCTGAAACAGACAAGACACAGAGAAAATACCCTTCCAACAATTCAAACTTGACAACCACCTTCGATCCCACATGAGAAGAATACCACCTGAAGTGCCTGTTGCGTTCAACACTTCCCATTCCACAAACCTACCTCCCCAAAGACTCCTAACAATCTCAACGGTGATATCAGCCATCTTAGTTTCCTGTAAACAAACAACATGAGCACTCCACTTCCTCAAAGCTACCTTGACAACTCTTCTTCTTTTCGGATCATGTAGAGCATGAACATTCCAAATTATAAGTCGTAGCTTCATATAGAACCAAAAACGATCAATTCTCCTCCTCCTCCCCCGTTTACTACTTCTGGTTCTTCCCCTTTCTTTGGTCGTCCCATTCCTCCCGTCATAATTAACACAAGAAATCAGATTCTTCACTTCCTGTTCACCTTTCCGATGTGAATTTCTGACTTTGACTTCTTTTGTGCCACAATTAGGTTCAGTACAACAATTTCGTGAAGAATAGACAAGGTTTGTTCCTCATAACCTTCTGCAGAGACACCCTAAGCTTCACTTATTGCTCCAATATTCTCAATAACCCATTCCATACCCAGATCACTGGTCGTCTCCAAACAATCTGGCCGCACAACTGCCAGAGGTTCCATTAAAACCACTTCAGATTGATCAAAATCCGTCCCGGAAAAAGAATCTTTTGAACAGTGCTGCTGAGTAGGAACATCAACCACTCCTAACTACATATTCCCCTCTGTTTCCGAAGCATCATGTTAAGTTGACAAAATCACCTCTTCTCAGATGATTGACTGTTCAAACCTTCAACTGCAGCAAAGAGCCGAAGTTCTTTGAGCAGAGCTACAGCTAAATCATTATTCAATTTGAAATGCAGATCTTTCCCGATGCAAACTGTCACTCCATTGAAAAAACCCACACTCCCAGTTGTGACTTTTGAGACATCTAACTCTGACCCATCACACCATGAACCTGAAGACCCAATAAGACTCCTCTGTTGATTCGAAACATCCTCCACAACATCCCTATTACTTACCACTCCACCCGAAGAAGAAGAAGTAGAAGTAGAGAGAGCATTTTGAGAATGATCAGAACTTAAACCTGGAAAAGAAGTGAGAGATCGTGCAACCCATTTCGGTTTTTCAGTCCGAGTCCACCGAGATCTATGGCAACCAACATCCATCATTATCTGCTCGGGTTTCAACAAATGAGTCGAAGGCTTAGCATGGGCTTGTACCTCTTGAAATGGCTTAGAGCCAGGTTTGGTGTTTGGGAAAGAGATAAATAAAGAGTTTGGTCCTTTTCACACCCTTCTATTAGGCCCAGATCTAATAGGCCCAACCTGAATCCGCCCACTTGGCCCGAATCTAAGCGGCCCTTTCTGTACCCATCAAAAAGGCCCAGAACCAAAATTTGCTCTATTGGGTTTAGGCAGAATGAGCCCAAGATTAAGACCAGGCCCAGTCCTCCTGGCCTGTCTTGGCATCTTCTGGCCCATCACACCTCCATCCTCAGCCCAAAAAGACAAATCCTCCCCTACCTTATCATCAAGAGATAAGGATAAGGCCGAATCTGAAGGAGCACCCCGTCGATCTCCACATGTACTCCTTTGCTCAACAACAACGCGTTTGGCTGGCGCGTGAAGATCACTTTGCCATCTACCCCCTATGAACTTCACTGCTTGCTGAATTTCACGATCCTTCAGCCACTGCTGAATTCCAAGAACCCCCTCTTTTCCTTTACTGAGAATCTCATTCCATTTCTCTTCCGACATAAGATGAGATCCGTCACTACCTTCAAGACTCTCTGTTGAAGGAACAAGCTCCGGAGAGATTTCTTCCCAAATTGCGACCTTGTAAAAGAAGGTGTCGTTGTTGATAAACACGAACTTCGGACAATCACGACCGGATCACACTGTTATCCGAACACGATAATCTCTTACTTCCCTTCTGTTTTTTTTTTTTTTCTTTCTTCTTCTCCTTTTGTTGTCATCTTTTCACAAATTCAAACAAAAACATGCTTCAATTGAGGCCATTTTATTGTAATTAGATCAATTGTTCATCATCATCTTCTTCAAGTTGGAAGATGTTGTGGTTGTGCCATTGAAAACAATGACATGGATAATCAAGATGTGAACTGTGAAGTCAGGGTTGCAATGCCATCGAGGACAACCCTAATTGTTGGGATTAGGGTTGCCCTGAGACTGGGATGATCAGAGATTGGTTTGGAAAGTATGGTCATTGCTCAGAAACATCATTTACATCACAGTCTTGAGTTTTCCATTTCAATCATTCCATCGCAACATCAGGATTAGAAATCCAATCACGCTTGTATAAGATGCAAAGGGGAGAGATTAGAAATTCAATCACGCTTGTATAAGATGCAAAGGGGGGAGAGAGAGAGAGAGAGAGAGAGAGAGAGGAGGATAATATTTTAGGATTTTCGCGGAGAGGAGAGGATATTCACAGTTAGAATTTGATAAAAGGAAGGGAACTAAAGAGACGACTTCCTTTTTTCTGATAATATTTTAGGATTTTCGTGGAGAGAAGAGAGGGTATTCACTCTTAGAATTTGATAAAAGGAATGGAACTGAAGAGACGACTTCCTTTTTTCTGATAATATTTTAGGATTTTTGCCGAACACCGAAAAATAAAAGGAAAAAATTATTTTACATGTAAAACGTTTTCTAAGAAAAATATTTTACGTTGCATAAAAAATCAGAAAGAAATTAATTTTTTCCCAATAAACCACTAAAATATGCATTGGAATCCATAGCATGCATTATCTTCCCTAATATGTAACTACATGTTTCAAGTAGATAAGAGGCCGCGAACAGTAAAGTACAAAAATAGCAACATCAATCTTCATGCAATAACATCTGAGAATTTGACAAGAGCAGATTCACAATAAAGAACAGAACAGAAGAATGTAAATGCAATATATTATTTAGAGCTAGTTTTCATATTATCAATTGAACAAGAAAAAAAAAAAAAAAAAAAATTTGATTTCCATTAAACAAATAATTCTAAAACTTCATGCAATCAAGATCTACAAATGTGACATGAGCAAGAATAAACACGACTTCCTCATTAAGTTGAATATGTTTATTTCCAGGAAGAGATTGCTGTTTTCATTTTGAAAAGAAAAAAATTGATGTTTTCATTCTTATACTCCAAAGTTCCAGATCAACATGCAATAAGAATTTTTTTATACAGTAGTGTGATAGAAACAGTATTGCAATCACTAAGGACATGTCCATAAAAGTATACTAATCCCCATCTTCTTTACAATAAAATCCAGAAGGAAGCAACAAAGGCTCCATTTGACTGGGAGCAATGGGTGCAAAACGTAACAAGTAAGAAGATACTGTAATGCATTTTCCAATTACATCATGGGAACGATTTAACAGAAATCCTTCCCGCATCAACACAGGTACCAGTGGAGCCCACACTTCTCTGAAGCAACCAAACATACTAAAAGGTGAAGGAAATAGATTTTACTTTCCTTTTCCATCACCTTCTTGTCAATCAAACACACAGCCCAAATGTTCTTCCCAAAAATTTAGATTAGTGTTACCACAAAATTTTAATCCTAGTTTAAGGATTTACTAGTGGAAGCTGACGATCAATAGAATGGACACGGATTTTATACTCTCATAAGTAGAGATAGTGGATGACCTAAGCTTTCTGCACTAGTTGCCATATAAGTCACAGTTTTTCGTAGTACAAAGATAGATATCTAAGTAAATACTGAATGACCTCAGTGAAGGCATGAAATTAAAGAAGAAAAATGGATGTGAAGGTAGAAGCCGGATATGAAACCCCACGTACAGAATAGCAGCTGTAAAGATGAAGTAGAAATTAAAATTTTAAAAAATAAAAAATAAAAAAATGAAATTACCTTATACCAAATCCCTCAAGCTCTTTCTCTATCAGACGCTTATGAGTTATTGGCTTTATTGCATCAAGAACAATTAAAATAACATTGCATGTCCTAGCTGTACTGATAACCTGGAAAATTGTACATGAACTGTAACCATCTAAAACAAAGAATATTGATCTAAAACTGGAAAATTGTACATGAACTGTCACAATGTTTAAGAATATTGATCTAAAACTAAGCACATGAAAGTTGTACATGTTCCTGTAACCATCTCAAACTAAGAAGTTATGTTTAATATTCAATCTTTCACATGCTGAAGAAAACGTCTCCAAAACAATAATTTAATATATAATAAAATAATTTCCAGTCATTACAGACACATATGATCCAACAGTTCTAGTATCCCATTAGGAATATAATGCTAGCATAGTTACAATTAGTGATAGTGATCTTTCTCAAAATATGGCAGTTGGATGAATAACTAACTATTTAGACCCAAATTTTCACCAGCCTATCAATTTTACCTTTTGGTACCAAATTATAAACCATTAATGAGTAACTGATCTTTAAAAATTCCGGGACAGCTGGACATTATATTCAGAAATAGTATTTATCAATGATAATGTGCAAAGACACCACACCACTTTCCTGTCTCAAGTACAAATATTTCTTACAAGGACTAGCCATGCATGTTTAGCTGCCAGTATGCATTGTGCTAGATATAACCAAAAATCTTACAACAACATTATGGCACTGTTAATTGTCAAAACATTCTTTGTCGGGTTCTAGGGAGAATTGTAAATCAATAAAGGAGTTTGTTGATCTTTTGGGTTTTTTAAGGGTTTAGAGGCCCTATTTGGCCTTGTGTAGCTTTTGAGGTATGCATTCCCCTTTTGAATGCTGTTAATACAATATTTACTAATCAAAATAATAATAATTCTATGTTACATATACTCTTCTAAAGTAGGCAAAGTACTCGTATCCAACACAATGCACGAACATGGCTATAGAATGTGTCTGACACTTTTGTTTGGACATGTATCCAAAAAAAATATCCAATAATTCAATTTCATTATATTACTCTTCAAAACAAGTGGAAATGCCTATATTGAGCACTATGTTACATAAAGACATTACTTTACTCCAGAAAATAAAATAAAAATATAAAATTTTAGCAGTGCCTGATTGTCCTTCTATTTGGAGATTTGACATGTACAACGTGTGGATACATACTCGCACCCAACACAAATACCTGAATCCATGTAACTTAGAAAACATCTACTTCCTTTTCTTCCTAACCTTCATAGAAGAAAAAGTGTATGCAATATGACATACTCAAGTGTTTCGATAGATTGTTTCATCCTAGAAATACTAACTATAGAATGACTGTGGCATTAAGATAGCAAATCTGTTGTTTAAGACAAAATTTATATGATGAGCAGGTAATTTATCCAAATAATTGAACCATAAGAAATCTTGAGAACATTACAGTGTTTGCAGATTGGGAAAACGTACTTTCAACAAATGAAATAAATATCACTCCAGACTTAGCTACAAGGCCAAGAAAACAGAAAGAAACGAAATTTAAGGTAAATTAATATTCATAGAAGACCTCACTAATTATGCTATCTTGGATTTAGACTTCATTGACCATTTAATGGGTGTGTATTTTGCAGTATTGCCAGCAAGGATGGGGAACATAAAATTTTAAGATATGATAGCCGGGAAAAAAGTAAGTGCTGTTAGAAAACAATATTAAAACTTTACCTGCCTTCCTCTACCCTTTCCATCCTTTGCACCCTCAATGATACCAGGGAGATCCAACAACTGCCAATCAAAAAGAAATATATAAATGGCAATATTGCAAGCGAAGAAGCAAACATGAGGAGACTGCAAATTATTATAAAATAAAATTAAAAAAAAAAAAAATTAGTAACAATTTGTGCCTTTCATGACATTCACTACATTATCATTATATGTAAACAAGCAAAAGAAGTTATATGACCATCTCACCATATTCCCTTAACTAGCATTTCCCTTTATGTCTCCCTTAATTAATAATCCCCTGCTTTAACTTTTTAAATTCTTATTATTTTCATTTATTTATTAACTTATTTATTCGTATTCCTGGTAAGTAACAATCCCTTTCCACTCTTCCTTAAAAAATTAAAGCTCTTAATCTTTTTAAGATCTGGGAATGTAACTAGAAAGCATAAAAGTATAATTATTTCATATAAAATTTATTTAATTGCATCATTTATTACACATTATACACAAAATGTGTGCCAGGCTTCCAGCAACTAATTGTTTTGACATAAAATAACAGTGAATGAAGAGCTGCCAAGAATTAGAAGAAACAAACAAAAACACAGAAACTACCTAGAGATTTTTCTTTCCTGGAGCCACAACCACAACTAAGATTATTCAGCCCTAATTAACTTCTGGGGAAAAAAAACACTAAGATTATTCTGCATTAATCGATCCCACTAGCTGAGCCTACAAGAGTACAGTTAAATTGAAATGTAATATTGTTACACTCTTGCTCATTTGTTGGCTCTTCTTATACACACTACACTTCAGCATATACTTTTGCCAAACACCACAACCACACGGGAAACAGAGGGGAACTAAAGCAGCATAACATGTCCTGACTTGAAACAAACGGCTTGGTTACCAGATATCAATGAAACAACAAAATATTAGGACAGCATGGTTTAATTTTTTTTCAAATAAAGATTGATCAACAAACAAAAATAGGTGCAAGACAGAGTTATAATTGTGTCAGATGATGCCTAAGAATTAAAAGTTTTAAGTAGCAAGACCAAAGAAAAATAAAAATCAAGTGTTTATAACAACTGAGCAGAGGATACCCAACATATAATCAATAATGTCCACATTCTCTTTTTATATTCTTACTGCCTTTTTATGAAGTTGTAAAGAATATTGCAGTGTAAACTCATGAATCTAACCAACGGGCCAGTGGCCTAGAGGTATCAGCCTCTTACTTCCCAAAGGGAGGTCAGGGGTTCAAGTCTCAGAAGAGACAAGTGTGTATGAGTACCAACTAGGAGGAGGAAAGGGAAAAAAAAAAAAAAAAAAAAAAAAAAAAAAAAAAACCTCATGAATCTAATATCATGAGTTTAGTATTCAATTGAATTTAGTAATATCTATTATAACATCTATTATAACAAGATGAACTGTAAACACATTCATGGGCAGACAAACATAGATAACAAAAAAAGTATATGAATTCATTTTTAAAAAATTCTTACTACCCTTGAAGAGCAGACAAAACATAAATAACAACAAAAGAGTACGAGTGATTCATTTTTTTAATTTTTACGAGATAGGAAACATTAAAGAAAGAAGGACAAAGATAAATCATTGTTTTTGTATATAGAAAACATTTTTCCGAACGATATATACAATTATATAAAGCCAACAAGGTGACTTCATGATCCCTTCATTTTGAAGCCTTGTCATACTTTGTTTTCACAAAATAACCTCAAGAAACAAGGAACACATGATATATACTCTCCCTTGTTATTAAGTTAAGGGTAAATAAGGAATATTGCATCTTGGTGCATCAGCATCACAATTACTAAATCAAAAACACCTCCCACAACTCTTAAAACTCTCTCTGCAAAGACTAACAACTATTGACAAATTTTCATCTAAACTGTTTGCAAGATGTAAGAAAAATTATAGGAGATAAGGAGCATCTGCAAATTAAGATGAAAAGGGTTACATAAACTATTGCATCTATAATCTCATTTGCATATTGATAGATGTCATCTTCATATGAATCATACACTCAAATGACTAAAGCAGAAAAATACTTCAAATTCCTGGCAGTTAAATCTACTGAGGATGATATTACCTGAATTTTAGCTCCCCGATACATGATCACACCTGGGATGCAAGTTAAGGTAGTAAATTCATATGAAGCAACCTGTAAACCATGAAAAAAAGATAAGGATTTCAGGAAAACCTCAATAGAAGCTTTCACAATAAGCAGGTCTTACATGATGAGTTTGAAGAATTACAACCATCCAAAAACAAGAAGTTTTACAATTTTTTTAATAGATTAAATAATAAAAAGGCAAAAATTTGTATTTAGATCAACCAATCAAACTTCTTTAGATTCTAGCAGGCATATTTAATGGGTATTTACTACAAAAGCTGTTCATTTTAGGGGTCAAGTTTGAGTTTGAGTTTTCTCCATCCTAAACTGAACATCAAAATAGCTTCTATCTACCACCCAATTATAAGATATCACACTGACCTATTGTTACTGTCAGAAGTGGATCTATTCATGCATTTTTTTGACAGATGGAACTGAACATCTTTGTTGAGTTCTCAAGAAGTTCCTGATCACATTCATCGGAGATTTGCTGTGGAACCCTAAGATTGAAGATTCAGCTGCAAACAGGCAGTTCTTTTAAGGAATTGAACATCTTGGTTCCTTTCGTTCACCCTATAGAGGTTAGGTTCAATGGAATTCCTCCTTATGTCTAATGCTGAACTGATGGTTGTATGACATAGAGGTGATGACACATGATCTCATGTTTGATTGTTGGTATTGTCTTCATGTCTGTGGAGAAACAAAAACCATTCCTGATTTTTTGGTTAATTGGTTTATACATATCATTAGATTAGTAGTTTTCCATTTGATGTACAAGGCTGAAGGCTGTACATGATATTTCTTCCAACTTTCAACATAATAAAAAATAAAATATATTAATAATTTTGCAATTTTACAAGTTTATGAACATACAAATCAAATCTCAAGTATGGTGATACAGGCTGTTAACACGATCTTAAATTGGTATGCTTCTGAAGTGGAACTGAGCAGCTAAAATCATGGCAGTGGTATCGTCCATGACATTTATACACTACAGGTCTCAACTTTAACAACATCACCAAACACTGTTTAGTAAGATAACAAGTAACCTCAATTTTTATTTTCTATCACCAAACACTGTTTAGTAAGATGACAAGTAACCTCTATTTTTATTTTCTTTTGCTGAGAAGCCACCTTAGGCATCAAAGTCTTTGGCATGAACACCTACCAATTATTAGTAGAAACAACGGAAGGAACATCAACAAGAGGGGGTGTAATAGCCTCACGGCTCTAAAAGAAAACTTGACATGAAACCATTTCTCCCAAACCAAAACCAAGGGGACAAGTTTAAACTTCAAAGAATAAAAGTTGAATTTAAATTGGTAATTTTTTGAATCAGAAAGTCAATTCGAGTCTTATTGGGTCTTCAGGTTCATGGTGTGATGGGTCAGAGTTGGATGCCTCAAAAGTCACAACTGGGAGTGTGGGTCCTTTCAATGGAGTGACAGTTTGCGTCAGGAAAGATCTGCATTTCAAATTGAATAATGACTCAGCTGTAGCTCTGCTTAAAGAGCTTCGGCTCTTTGCTACGGTTGAAGGTTTGAACAGTCAATCATCTGAGAATGAGGTGATTTTGTCAACTGAACATGATGCTTCAGAAACAGAGGGGAATATGCAGTTGGGAGTGGTTGATGTTCCTACTCAGCAGCACTGTTCTAAAGATTCTTTTTCCGGGACGGATTTTGATCAATCTGAAGTGAATTTAATGGAACCTCTAGCAGTTGTGCGGCCAGATCGTTTGGAGACAACCAGTGATTTGGGTATGGAATGGGTTATTGAGAATATTGGAGCAGTGAGTGAAACTTTGGGTGTCTCTGCAGAAGGTTATGAGGAACAAACCTTGTCTATTCTTCACGAAATTGTTGTACTGAACCTAATCGTGGCACAAAAGAAAGTCAGAAATTCACATCGGAAAGGTGAACAGGAAGTGAAGAATCTGATTTCTTGTGTTAATTATGACGAGAAGAATGGGATAACCAAAGAAAGGGGAAGAACCAGAAGTACTAAACGAGGAGGAGGAGGAGGAGAATTGATCGTTTTTGGTTCTACATGAAGCTACGACTTATAACATGGAATGTTCGTGGTCTAAATGATCCGAAAAGAAGAAGAGTTGTCAAGGTAGCTTTGAGGAAGTGGAGTGCTCATGTTGTTTGTTTACAAGAAACTAAGATGGCTGCTATCACCGTTGAGATTGTCAGGAGTGTCTTTGGGGAGGTAGGTTTGTGGAATGGTAAGTGTTGAATGCAACAGGCACTGCAGGTGGTATTCTTCTCATGTGGGATCGAATGTGGTTGTCAAGCTTGAATTGTTGGAAGAGTATTTTCTCTGTGTCTTGTCTATTTCAGATGGAGGAAGACAATTTCAGGTGGGTGTTTTCAGGTGTTTATGGGCCTGTTACTGATAGTTATAGACCAGTCCTGTGGGACGAGCTTTGATATGTTAAGGATTTATGGTCATTGCCTTGGTGTTTAGGTGGGGATTTTAATTCTGTTAGGTCCTCTTTTGAGAGGTCCACAGGGCAGGTGGTCTTCAGAAATGACCATGTTTTCAGAATTCATTGATAGTAATTTCCTCATTGACCTACCATTGGAAGGAGCGGCCTTTTCTTGGTTTAATGGTAGGGAACCGGTTACTTTTTCCCGGTTGGATAGATTTCTGATTTCTGGGGCGTGGGAAGAGCATTTCCCGATGTCTCTCAGGTTGTGTTGGTTAGAGTCACATCTGATCATGTGCCTTTAGTTCTTGATTGCGGTGGTCTGAGTTCTAGACGCACTCCTTTCCGCTTTGAAAACATATGGCTTAGATCCAAGGATTTTCAAGGGAAGGATCAGTCTTGGTGGGAGGAAGCGAATTTCACAGGCTCTGCTAGTTATGTGTTAGCTAGCTAGGAAGTTTCAGTTCCTTAAAACTGAGCTAAGGAGGTGGAATAAAAAAGTGTTTGGGAATTTTGAATGGAAGAAGAATAGAGTTCTTGCTGATATTGCTGAGCTCCATTGTCTTGATGAGGTGGGACAGAGTGGGGAATCATTACGCTCTAAAAGAGCCTCTTGCCAAGCGGTTTTTGCTGAGATTGCTCTTATGGAGGAGATTTCGTGACGCCAGAAGTCTCAGGCTTTGTAGTAAAAAGATGGGGATCGTAATACAAAAAAATTTCATAGACTTGCCAATGCTCACAGAAGATGTAATCACATCGGGCATATCTGGGCTAATGGTTCTGAATTGTGGAGGGAGGACGAGGTGCGCGGGGGAATCGTTTCTTTTTATCAGCAGCTCTACACTGAGACTTCGGATTAGAGACCTACTCTTGATGGTCTTCCTTTTAATTCTATTTCTATGTTGGATAGTGATAGGATTGAGATTCCATTCACGGAGGAGGAAGTACTTAAGGCACTTTCTAGTTGTAACAGGGACAAAGCTCCACGGCAGATGGGTTTACGATGCGGTTTCTTAAGGAGAGTTGGGAGATGGTGCGAGTTGAGGTGATGGGCACCTTTCAGGATTTTTATTCTCATGGCACATTTGAGAAATCTCTGAACGCATCTTTTATTGCTCTCATTCCCAAAAAGGGCGGTGCCTCTGATATTAAGGACTTTCGGCCAATTAGCTTAATTGGATGTTTGTATAAGCTTATTGCCAAGGTTCTTGTCTCCAGGATGAGTAATATTTTGGATGGTCTCATTTCATAATCACAGAATGCTTTTGTTAGTGGGAGGCAAATTTTGGATTTTGTTCTTATTGCAGGGGAATGTGTTGACTCTAGATTAAAAAGTGTGGTTCCCAGCGTTTTGTGTAAGCTTGATATTGAGAAAGCTTATGATCATGTATATTAGAAGTTTGTTTTGTATCTGCTTCGGAGGATGGGGTTTGGTGACAGGTGGATAAAATGGATTGAAACTTGTATCTCGTCAGTTATGTTTTCTGTGCTCGTGAATGGTACACCTGCAGGTTTTTTTGCTAGCTCGCGTGTTCTACGACAAGGAGACCCATTATCGTCTTTTGTTTTCCTTATTGTCATGGAAGGTCTGAGCAAATTAATGAGAAAAGCGGAAGATTTGGGTTACATCAGGGGGTTCAGAGTTGGCAGAGATGTTGAACATCAGATGCAGATCTCCCATTTGTTGTTCGCGGATGACACTTTGGTATTTTGTGATGCTGAAGTTTCTCAACTCAGATATCTGAGGTGCATTCTTGCTTGCTTCCAAGCGGTTTCTGGGTTAAAGATTAATGTCGGAAAGAGTGTGCTTGTCCCAGTAGGGGATGTTCCAGATATTTCCTCCTTAGCTGTTGTCTTAAGGTGTGGAGTTGGTGCTTTTCCTCTTCCTTACTTAGGATTGCCTTTAGGAGTTTCTTCTACACAAGTTGGGAATTGGGATCTAGTGATTAATAGATATGAGAAAAGATTAGCAGGATGGAAAAAGCAGTATCTATCTAAGGGGGGGAAAGTCACACTCATTAAGAGTACTCTCTCATCCCTTCCTACCTATTTTTTATCTTTGTTTCAAATTCCATGATCTGTTGCTGAAAGGATTGAAAAAATTCAGAGGGATTTTCTCTGGGGTGGAAGGGGAGAGGAGTTTAAGTATCATCTTGTTAATTGGGATCAAGTCTGCCAATCATTGAGGTTAGGCGGTTTAGGCATTCAAAAAATCGTTCCTTTTAATCGTGCTCTCTTAGGAAAGTGGTTATGGAGATTTGGAAGGGAACGCCATCGTCAGTGGAGAAGAGTTGTCTCGTGTCGTTTTGGTGAGGAGAGTGGGGGTTGGTCATCTCTTCCAGTCACTATTACGGGAGGTGTTGGTGTGTGGAAATTCATTCGGAAGGGCTGGGATGTTTTCTCCACACACATTAGATTCAAAGTTCGTGATGACAGACATGTCCGTTTTTGGGAGGACCTTTGGTGCGGAGATCAGTTCCTGTCTCACTCCTTTCCTAGACTCTACAGTATTGTAGCCAATAAGCATGTCTACGTGATTGATTGTTATCAACTTGATAACAATGGAGTTACGTGGGATATGCGGTTTAAGCGCCCCTTTCAGAATTGGGAAATG